CAGTTTCAGCAGGAAATAGGAGCTGCCATTCAGAGTATGACTGATCAGATAGGGCAGATGACCACTCAACTCACTGAGGAACAGTCTCAAGATTCAGAGTTACAATTTCAGACTATTCAGATTCCAGATGATGTTAGTGTCATTGACTTAGGAGATGGGAACCAGAGTCTTGCACTCATTGTGCCACCTACTCTCCCACCTTCAGATGTCCCTACTATGGCGATTGAGGAGATAGATCCTGATGACGATTTTGAGGACCAGGCAAGTATAAGCAGCAATTGTGAGCCAGGTAGACCATTTTCATCTTCCACCACTTTTCCAAGCTTTAGAGAAGTGGAGGTAAACATACCTCAATTTGATTATTCTGTTGATGGTTGTGCTGTTGATGATTATGCTATTGAGGGGTATGTTGATAATTATACTGTTGATGAGCATGTTTTTAATTCTCCCTCTGTGCATGATGAGAACCACTTTTTGCTACCACATCTGAATATTTATTCTCCATGCACTGAACATGAATCTGAGCCTGTAATTGATATCGTTTCTACATATGAAATTGATTCATGTTCTGAGGATGTATCTGAGGTTAAGCCTATTACACTGAGATTGGGTGTTATACCCCTGCATGTTATTTCTTTGGAACCACATTGCACTAACCATGTTACAGGAGGTACACATGAATTTAACCAACAAACGCCCACGGTGGAAGACAAAGGTGTCAGTGTACACAACAGTTTGAAGATGAATAGGCACCGGCTGAACCCGCTCATCAACAATCCTTGCTTCTTAGATCCAGCTATGGAAGACATTTCCCTACTAGATCAAATCTGGAGAATGAAGAAATTCTTCCTCAAAACTTCCTTGCTGGATCCAATGGTGGAAGACATCTCCCTACTAGTCCAAAATTGGCAACTGCTACCATGACCAAGGGAGTTTTCCTTTTCTCTTCTCCCCTTTCCCTACTTTTATTGCACTTGTCCATGATCTGTTCANATAAATTAATTTATTATTTTACTTTTTAAATTTATAATTATATTCTTAAATTTAATTAATTATCTAGAATAAAATTATAAAAATTATTTATTTTTAATATTATTTCTTTTAATGATTATGATAAAAAAAGTAGTATCTTTCCATTCGTACATACGAAGAAAGATACCATGTCATCATTTCGCTTCTCATATTAAATAATGGATCTTGACACCAAAATTTTGACACATTTTTTATAACGCCAGTTGTCACCATTTGATTGGTCCAAATTTCTTTTTGTTTTATTATGAAATTGTGACGTCGAAAATGCTGAAAGTTAAAGGATTCCAAATAACTCCTTGTCTTGTTTCATTAGAAATCACCGTTCTCTTTCTTACTTGTCGTTCACGATATTCGTTGTACCTCTTCGTTTTGGTTTTCGGTGTTCGTCTTCCTTGTGGTTGTGGTTGTCCGTTGTCGGTGTGGTTGTACGTTTTCGTTGCATCTCTTGGCTTCGGTGAACGTCGTCGTCTTTGTTTAGTGTATTTTGCGAAATGGCAAGTTCAGGTAACCATGGTCCTTCGACAAGCAAGATAAATGCGTTTTTCCTCCATTGTGTTGATTGGGTTTTCGGTTTGGATTTTGGGTTTTCGTTGTTATGTTAAATTTTGTTGTTGTTATCGTTTTAGGACTTATAAGTTTTGGTAATTTTGTTTGTCGTTGATGCAGTTGAGGGTTAGTCACTCATTTTCAACAAAGTATATTTCTACTTTGAACAAGCGTTTGTCAAAGGAGCACCGGTCACTGATTGCGGAGACTCCTTTTTAGTGGTTTTTAGATTTGGGTGGTAAAGTTAAAGTAGGTAGGAATATTTTGAGTGAGTTATTGGTAAAATGGGTGGATTCCAGTAGTGGTTTTTTTAACTGGAGATAAACTTGTGTCTATGAATGAGAAGGAATTTTGTTTAGGTTTTGGGGTTGAGTTCAGATGGTCAAAATATTAACTTAAGGGAAGAATTGGGAAGAAGTACATCTTTGAAATACTTAGGCAATGGAACAAAATATTTGAATTTGGTATACAAATGTTTGATGAGAAAACATAAAAGAAAGATACCTCCTTCTCATTTTTGTAGCTTGTACATATTGGTAGGGATATGTGAGATATTATTTCCACACCGTAGCGGAAGAGTGTTTCCCATAATGTTTGAAATTGTTGATAATTTAAGTGGTTTGGGTAATTATTGTTGGGGTAATTTAGTGTATCGTTATTTGGTACGTAGTTTGTGCAAAGCTTCATATGCTTTAAAGAAAGGAAAAGGTACACGCAATGTTTATGTTGATGGTTGCGTTTACATGCTGCAGGTAATTTAGATTTATTGAATTAAAATGTCCCTTTTTTTTAAGNATCATTTTGCCATGTTTTGAATTGCTTGGATGATTTCATGAGTATCTGCTTTCTTTGACTTTGTGTTGGATATTGTCTACTTCTTTTCTTTGTCCAGATTCCTTGAGCACTGTGTGATTCTGTTTATTTTCTCGTGAGTCTTTATTTATTTATTTTTTTGTCTGCTGAGTTTGTGTCACCTCCCTAAAAGTCCTTTGAACTATTTCCTGATTTGCGTCTTGATTTTGCCCAGGAGTGCAAAAGACTAAGTGTGGTCTATTTTGATGAATCGATATTTTGTTCACTTCACCTAGTTTAATGTGCTATAATTAATCAGGAAATTCTACTTAAATTACCTATATCGTATGTCTCTTACGCTAACTGCATAGTACAATTGGTCAACATCAACAGTACAATTGGTCAACATCAACAGTACTAATTGGGTAACCAACATAACTGCGCAAAGGGGGGATCGCCAGTGGTACCACCGCTTCATCAACATCATCATCGCCATCATGAATTTCAATACAAACACGAGGATGCTTCTTCATCTTAATGTCCTGAGATGCGGCAAGTTTGTCATCTTCATGTGGTGGTTCTTCATCCCCTGCTTCTTCATTATAGGGACGTCCAGGTTGTTCATCATCTCCATCAGCATCTTCTTCATCGCCTCCACTTGCAGGTGCTTCCTCTGCACCACCAACACCTTCTTCATCATGACCAAATTGAGATTCTTCATTAAAGATTGGAGTTTGACGAATGTCAATTAACTCCCACATAATGACTCTAATCTTTGCATTCAGTGTCATAATATCATGATTGTTTTTCCTTATTCTCTCCTCAGCACCTGCTAACCACGTGTCGTCATCAAAGCTTTCATCATCTCTTTCCTGAACCCAAGATCGTTCAAGCATCGATCCTTCACCAATCCCTCCATCATCCATGTGGAATGCAACACAGATTTCAGCCACTTCACAATCTTCCTTACTTACATACCACTCCAAATTTAACTATACCATACACAAAGAACCAAAGTAATCAAATAAGAACATCATTATTTAAAACAAAATTATAACAAATGTTCAAACACTTACATCTCCGGTCTTAAAAATATTATCAATTTCTTTTGTTGTTGCTGTATAAGGGAACCATCGCAATATGCGCGGGAACCTCCTATGAGAATAATGACTATGCAAAGACAGTCTTTCAATCGCCCAAGCCTTAAAATATGAAAATAAATAGTTACCCAAATTTTACAATGTTGTACATTCCATTTACTAAATTAATTATAAATCATGTCACCTGCAACACGGCCACATTGCCACTAAGACTGAGTGAGCGGGCGATTCCTCTAGACATTATTTTCTTCATGCGTTTATTTAAATTTTGCACAATATGTTTATGTACACCAGTCGCCCAATCGTATAGACATAAAATATCTAACTCATCTAACACTTGACAAGGCATGTTAAAAATATACTTAGACTTCCTAGGAAAATAAAATGAAAACAAACACACTAATATATATAACCTACACACTACATCAACCTCTATGTTTTCATCCCGGATAACCAAACGAAATATGTCCATGACCTCCTTCAATGTAGTGGTTTTTGGATTAAACATATCACCAACCACTCCAACAACTGATTCGTCAAAAGTGATCTTTAAACCACTTATATCTAAACCTGTGGTCATGAACACATCAAGAACACTAAATGGGACCATTTCTTGACTAACTCTAAAACTGACATCATGCCTAGCCAATCGTTGGACCATCATCTTCAATAATTTCAAATTCACCTCCAAGGGCTCCACAATGTGCAAACACCACCTAAAAGGAGTCATCCTAATGTGCTCTACATGAGCGTCTCCTACTAACCTATTCATTTCAACAATGCTCGATGATTCCATTGAGATACGAAGGCGCCACTACAAAACAATAACAAAAATTTATTATTCACTAAAAGTCACAGGCTAAATAATCATCACTATAAATAACAAATTACATTTCATCTTACATTTGCTTGTTCGGATGCCATTGGAACTACAGTTATCACATAAACAAAACAACAATGTTCGACAACATCGTTAGGGTTCGCCAAAGAAATAAAGGTCAATGATAGAGAAGATGGTTAGGATTCGCGTAGTTTTACTTACCAAAAAACACCACGACACCGAGAACCGAGAACGCCAACGCTCGACATTGTCGTCCAACATGGCTTCAATCCTGCACAACACCTACGTCCAAGAAAGCGACAACGAACAACTCCAAATGTCGACTACAACGATTCGATTTTAGGGATAGAACACGAGAGAGGTGAGAGCACTGATAGAGACAAAGGAATGCCACAAAAGAGAGAAGACGAGAGGTGAAAGAAGAATACGGTAACCGCAAAAATGAAATTTCGTAATTTTTCCTTCCAATTATACCCTCCGTGATGAAATACCTATTTCATTCTTTATTTAAAACAACAGCCTATGGACAATCGCCAAGTGTCGTTGTAAAAAATGTGTCAAAAAATAGGTGTTAAAGAAGCGTTTTCGTATTTGTAATATCCTCTGAAGAAGTGTTTATTGTGACCGCAAGAAACAAAGAAAAAGTAGCAGTTCTGCAATCTTACAAAGTAATGGAAGGGAAACGAAAGTTGAGTACACATACATTTATTCTCTTTATTGTCTCTAGTACACTGCTCAAAGGCCTAAGACCTTACACATTCGTAGTTAAATATGCTCTTATTGAACAAATTCAGATGAATAATATTTCTCACGGCCATTGCTAAAGGGCATCTTTGCTTAGAAATGCAGAAGACATCTCAGTGATTTCCCTGTGATCAAAAGATCGAAGGCTTTGTCTATCTCCTCAATGGGTAGCTCGTGAGTGATGAAATTATCCAACTTCACAACCTAACATGGTTATCCAATTACCATAATAAACAAGTATTAGTCCATGCATGACTTCATTAATCTCAATAAACATAATAAAAGAACTTTTAAGAAGGAGATTTAAATCTAAGTCAACAAACAAATCTCTCAATAGAATAGTTTAGAAGATTCTCAAACCATTCATTTATATTACTATAATCTTGTTTGCTCATTCAAATTCAGTGCATAATTTCATTGTGTAAAAGGAAATTGCAAGTAGTGATGATCCTTACTCCATTTCCACATTGTGTGGCAAAATGAGGCAACTGACTTTTCCCTTTGAAACCTCCAAATACCGATCCAATGATACTGCGGCCAGCAAAGAGCTCCATCGGGTGGATAGGAAGCAAGCTTGGTGATGCATGAATTCCCAATATCACAGTCAATCCCCAACCCTGTGGCAGAAAATTTGGAACTGTAAGGTAATGGTTTTAAATAGTAAAATCTTGTGCGATGAATCTGAAATTGATGCATGCTTCCAAGTAAGGGATAAGTTTATAAAACCTAGTTGAAATATTAACTACAACAATGAAACTTAAGGGTTTGAAAAACTAGCTTGAACATAGCCATATACCGCATGAGCAGACAAAAATGCATCCCTTAGAACATCCACGTTTCCAGTACATTCAAAACTGTAGTCTACACCTCCATCAGTCATTTTTCTTATTCTCTGCAAAAAGAAAAAACAACATAGTCACTGTTTTGTTGGTGAAAATGCACGTTTATGATACTTTACTTTAAGTGAAATGAAATGATAGAAAGTGCCAACCTCGTATAATGGCTTCTCTTCATCCTTTGGGTTTATGAAATCAGTGACTCCCATTGCTTTGGCTTTGAGCACAAAGAGAATACAGTAAATTATACAGAAAGGGGAAAACAGAGGAAGTTTAAGACTTCAAATAAAATTTTAAAAGGTTTCTTTGATGAAGTTAGATACCTTTGATGAATTTATCAGGGTTGATGTCGACACCTATTATTCTGGAAGCACCTCTGCCTCGTGCCCCTTCTGCAACCTAGATTCATTCCAATTTAAAACCAACATCATCCTTAGATTACTGTTTTTGTTTCATATAGTACTAAGGCTTAAACCTAATCAGAAGAGAACAAAATAATCAAAATTACAGTATTAGTGCTGTTTTTTTTTATGATTCTTACTCCTTTAGCCATCAATTTTAATATATATATATATATGAAGAGAAGAAGAAAGTGAGTCTTATTGCAAGTTTAAGAAAATTATTAAAAGTAATTTCAGCTTTAAGCAATCACAGTGAAACGAAAGATGTTGGAAGAAGAAGAAAAACTTACAGCTAACCCAACAGCTCCAAGACCAAAAACAGCGACTGATGAACCAGAATGCACATTGGCAATATTCCAAGCAGCTCCAACACCTGCATTTTCACTCCATAAAAAGTTAAGAACGAAAAGAACTCATTTTAAAGTTTTTTCACTGAGAGAACATAAATAAGATAGACAAAAATGAAAATAAGGGTGAATATATGTAAGAAATAAAACGAAACTATTTACTTGTTTGTCAGGTAAATTGGTTTTTAAATATATTTTGTTATTTTTCAATTTAAACTACCATTACTTTATTTTGTTGTCAATTTTTATTGAATATAATTTTCACATAAAAGTATAATAAAATATTAATTAATCCAATTTTTAACATTAAATATATTTTTACTTTTAACAGTATATAAAAATTTAAAAATAATCTAATATCTAATAGAAGTAACGTGATGGTAAAATAGATATTTAATATCTTTTTTAATCAATAATCTATATTAACTGAAATTAATGAATAGAAATAAGAATAATAAATTAATTAATTAGTTCCAAAATAAATAATAGTACACGTAAATAAATAAATTATATAGGCTAATAAAAAAATTAATAAGTAACTTATTAATCATAAAATGAAATTAATATTAATATTATTTTTTTATTGTGTTACTTATTACTTATTTCTAGTCTATCTAAGGATCGCAAAAGTATTCATGTCTATATGAAAAAATCTACCAAAAGTAATAATTGGATAAATACATTGAAACGAGTATTTATGGATACCAAGTGACAAATATATTAGTACAAGCTCAATAATGAGTCAAAAATAATATCATGCTATCAAACTCATGAGTATATATTAGTTGAGTTTAATTTTTTGAGCATCCCTACACTTATAAGTTGCACAAATAATTGTTACATTTTAGGTTTCACGTTATTCTTTATAATTTGAGGTTTAACTTTTCTAAATCTTCCATGTCCTTTTTCTCTACCCAACAAAAACAAAAGTTGAGTGTCAAATCTTACATTATTCACTTTTTACAAAAAGTGCTCAATGGAAGGGTCACTAATTGAACATGTTAATGTGTTTAAAATAATTAAATATAACAAATATAATTTTGTTAAATCTTAAAATTATCATTTTTTTAATTTATAATAAATTACATGCATAATAGATCATAATAAAATTTGAATTTATATTTTTTTAATTTTATTTGAATCTTATTTTAAAACATTTATATAATAAATATTCAAGAATATCCTGATACTTATAATTTAAAAGAAATTTAATAAAAGAAATTTACAAATACTTTTCTTAAACAGGTATCAAATAAATAACATGATGAATAATGAGGAGAAATTTTCAGTACAGGTCGAATAGCAGATAATATTATATTTATTCTACTTCACTTTATACCATCATCATCATACTTTGATATGTGAGTCCCCAGCTAAACATTAATTATTTTTCAAGAATTCACAATCACAGGTCACTTCTCCTAATCCGAGCCGACACATAATGACAATTCAATTATACTCATCTACCTGTCATTTCAAATGCTTCTATTATTACTCCAAATAGGAAAATGATACTTGAACAACCATTTTTGACAACATTTAGACACGCGCACACGTGTCAAAATCTGAGTGGTCCAATTAAAAAAAATAAATAAAAATAGACCACTCAAATTTTGACACGTGTGCGCGTGTCTAAATGTTGTCAAAAATGGTTGTTCAAGTGTCATTTTCCCTCCAAATATCTACTCAACTCAAAAATGCCAACTAGGCAAACTATCATTATGTCAAGTGGAGATCACACTTTAATGTCCTTTTATCTTAATCATACCAAAACTGGTTAAAGTGAAATAAAATCTTCAAATTTTATTCTTTAAAGTTAATATATAGAGAGAAAAAAAAATTAATTATTGAAACTTTACTAATAAAATTTATTTTTATCTCTCTTTTCTCTAGATTTGTGAGTTAATAATTTATTATTTTTAAGTTTTGAATCTATCGTAGTAAAGTTGATAAAAAAAAATCGAAAATATTCATCAAAATTATAATTTCATTCAGAGTAATTTTTTTATAAATTTTTTTTGAACTTTTACATACAGAGCTGTTTGCATTTCTAGGTTTGTGCTTGGATGTGCCTCTTTGATTGGTAAAGATAAATCTTTCCTAGTTTAGGATTATATAGTAATATCTTTAGTTTGATTATAACTATTTTCTATGAAAAAAAATTGAGTTTCATGTGTGAAATAAAGGATTGTTGGGGTTTGGTTGGAGTAGATAGACTTCTAAGTGAGGGAAACTGTCTTTGTTAAGTATTGCAATCACGTTAGGATTTGATGTGTATATTCATGTGAGAATCATCACGTTAAGTATTGCAATCACGTTATTATGAAACTTTTTATGTTTTCCATAGTATATAAAATTTATCATTTTGATGTCAAAATATAGAGTTGAATCTATAGACTAATAAAAATGTAGTATTTATTTATATATTACATGTTTTGTGTCATATATTATTTCTTAATAGTAGAGAAAATGTACAAGTGAGTTTGAAGTGATGTTTGATTATTATTGTTAAATATCTCACATCAAATAAAAATAAAATGATTTTATTATATAAGTACAAAAATCTTACTTTATAAGTGAATTTGGCATATAACGTAATATGAGAAGATGGGTTAAAGATTTTATATCAACTAGAAATAAAATAATTTTATAGTATATAAATACTGAATTAAACTTAAAACTATTGAATTAAACTTAATGTTAAACCTTTTATTGTTTTGTCTTTGGGACGCTGCGATGATATTTACATGACCTCGAGCATGTGAGATTCAGGAACCAGATGAAGTTTGGCCAAATTACAAAATAGAATGATTGATTTTAGAAATTATATATAAAAGTTGAAAGTGGCAGCAAAACGACAAAACTCATTTTTCTCAATTATTTGGCATTTTGCCTCCTTTTCCCTCGTCAACAAGACCCTTTCATAGATAATTTGTACATTTTTAGTCAGAAAATGACATGTGGATGCCATGTTTTCATGAAAGAAAGTGAAAGAGAATAAAGAAAAAGTAAAGTGTGACATAATTTTTAAACTGACATGAACTAGTAATTTTAAGCTCAGAATTGATTACACGTACCTTCGGGGAAAGAAAAAAAAGGGACTGTGAAGGATTGACATGATATAAAGATCATTTTAGTAAGTAGGAAATTTTTTTCATGGGAATCATTGATTACTACGTCTTTTAAGAGTTTTACCTTCGATCGGAAATTATAATCGTATTTTTCTTTTCCTATTTTTCATCAACCAAGCAAACTATAGCAGCAAAACAATATTAATAACTTTTTTTTAAGATATTCTGTTTTAAGTACTAATTTATGATTGATATTAAACTTTTAGAAATTACAATAAGTCTTTCTTTTGATTTTCTGATTTTAATAAATTTAGCCCATTGTAAGAAAATATTAAAAAGTCCACAAGGTCAGAAACACAACATGAAATGTAAGAAATAATGTTTTCATTTTATAAAATTCCAAAACCTTTTTAGTCAAACATTCCAAAATGAATGTTTCCAATTTATAAATTCCAAAATCTTTTCAGTCAAATATTACTCTTTAACGTGAATAAAGAAGAAAAAGAAAGAAAAGTCATCAAGGACCCGGTAAAAGTTGCTCTGCTTTGAAAATTAATTATATATATTGATGAAGTAATCAAGTCGTAGTTTATATATTATTTAGCAAAATTTTCAAACCATGGTTGTTTTTAATGTTATCCTAACCGAAACATTTTTAAAGGAAAGATAATCATGTAGAGCTATTAAAAAGTGGAATATAGACGGCGCGAACACAAAAATAGTACTAAAATACTCATCAGAATGCATCATTCGATGAAGTAAATTGACAAGGTAGCCAGCACAAGTGAACAGTCATAATTTTTTAAAAATCTAAAACAGCACGGAACGTGATGAAAATTAAAAAACGAAATGATATTTTGAGAACATTTTCTTAATAATATTTTAATATTATTTATCTAAAATTACTATGTGATAATAATAATCCTAAATATAACATAGACCAGTAACAAACACATAGATAATAGTAAAATAGAACATATCTTATTTATACAATCAAACAAACAAAACCTTGTACACAGTGTTAGATGTCAGAGTCATAATGAAGCGAAGTGTGAGTCGGTGAAACTACAGTTGTGACGTTTCAGTATGTTATCCCTATTTGTTTTTTTTTATATACTTATTTTTCAAAAATACTCTTTCAAAGATCTTAATGAAAAATGATTTGACTCCAAAAGAAAACATAAATAGATAAATAAAATATAATAATATAGAAAAAACGCAGGTGTTCTATATGGGTTAGTTAAAAGGTAAAAAGTATGTGGGTTTGACTGACCTGTGGAGACGCCACAGCTGAGCAAGGTGAGGTTTTTGGTGGTGAGAGTGTGATCGGAGTGACGAAAGCTGACGACGCAGGCGGAATCGACCACCGTGTACTCCGAGAATGTGGAAGTGTTCAAGAAATGGAAGATGGGTTTTCCATCAACTGTTGAGAATCTGCTTCTGCCATCTCCTTCCATCACCTTCTTCATGGGGTTCACCCCATACCTCTCACACTTGTTACTCTTCTCACACTTGCAATAACAACACTCTCCACACTCACCGTTGAATATTGGCACCACTGTGTCCCCTTCCTCCACCTCACTCACCCCTTCCCCCACACTATCCACGATTCTACACAAATTCATCAAATTTCAATCATTAATTAATTCAAAACTACATTATTTGATTGACATAATTATCAACAAATTTTTTTTAAAAAAAATCATTGACTAATCTCCTAACTGATGCGTGATGACCCAAAATTCTTTTAAATATTATTCTACTGTTCATTATTTTGTTAAAAAAACATCTGGGTAGGACACAACAATGATCAACCAATAATATAATTAAAAACAAAACTTTAGTTTATCTCTTGTCTTACCCGGATGCTTCGTGGCCTAAGATACGAGGGTAGGCGCGCTGAGACTCGTTCTTTGGTAAATCAAAACAACAACGGCGGAAAAGGCAAAACAAAACAAAAAACAAAGAGAAATGAGACATACAACATATTTTATGGTGGTAATGAATCATAATAGATCGATCGTATGCATACTGATATAGAGAGATAAATGCATAGATTAATCTGTTCTTACCTCGCCTCGCCATGCGCTGAGATCGGTGTGGCAAATTGAAGTGTAAAGAATTTTGACTCGAACCTCAAATTTCTGAGGAGGATGAACAAGAATTTCCTCCACCACGAAGGGCTCTCCGGGACCATAAGCCACCGCAGCTAGAAAATAAGAACACACCCATATGCGTGAAAATTAAGATCAAGATATGAGACGAGAGAAATATGTTAAGGGGTTTGTGTGTTGTTGCTAATTTTCTTGCATAAAGTAGTTAGTGTGAGATATAGCAAGTGGGTTGGTAGGAACCTTTGCAAGTGATGATCTTTCCCTTGGTGTCCCTCGTTGGCTTTGAGTTCGACGAACCGTTCTCGTTTTCCATTTCTGAATATGCCATTTTGCTCTCTGCAAATTTCTGTCTCTGGGATGGTTTGTGGAAGTAGGGTAGAAGAAGATGAAGCTAGAAAGAAAATTTATGAGTCCCTGGTCCAGACCATTTATGGGGGAGGGGATATATCTCTTTGGTTTTTATTATTATAAGATTTCCTTTTTATATAATTTACCAGCCTTTTCAAATTTTAAATTTGTGCAAAAACAATTTCCATCCTTGAGTTTAAGTTTCACCCGAAATTTATTAATTGTGATTGATTTAAGCTTAACAATAATTAGAGACAAAATATCTGTACATACGTATGGTTGGAATTTATTATTAATCTAGATAAACTTACGTCAGATAAATAAAAACAACAATAAAATATTACGGGGCGGAATGTTTGAGATTATTAATTCTTTTTTATGAAAAAACTGAAAAGACAAGTAATTCTGAATGTCATTCATTTTTAAAAACGCAACTTAATGTTAATTTAAATATTAAAATCTAACAGGGATCTTTTCAAACTTGATGAAAAGTATATAATTATTACAGTTTTAACTAAACAAATTGAAATACTAACTTATCATATATTTACACGTTAAAAATAATCTAACTATTTTCAAATAAATCATTTAGCTTTATTTCTTTTAAATTAATTTTTTTTTTCTTTTTCCTGTCTATTTACACTTTATGCATTATTGTTTTCTAAACAACCATAACATCGTTGGATGTTGCCAGAAAAGAAGGTATATTGTTTTATGTGGATTCTGGACGTGAATGGTGGTTAGGGTTGGTTTCATCGCTTCCAATGGGATCCGTTTTGTCTTTTTCACATTGGTTGACCCTTTCTAATATTTAAGACGAGTTTTTAATTTCTAACCGGCTTAATATTTCTTTTGGTCCCTCTCTAGGGGGCAATGTTCAAGTCCGTCCTATCTTTTTTAAACAGTTCAATGTAGTCCCAACTTGTGAAAAAAGTGTACAATTAAATCCTTTTTGGTCACGGCGTTAAATATTTAACGATGAAACTGCTCCTCTGGACTAAACTTGATGAGCTGTTCATTTTTTCTCTTATGTGGCATGGTGACGGGTCAATTTTGAATTTTAAAAAAAAATTGCTTGACACATCATCTTCTTCTTCCACCTCCACCAATCCTGAATTTAGGGTTTCTTCTCTCACATCCTTGGAGAGGTACCTGAGGTCCTCTGGCAAACCATTTGTAGTGAGGATTTTCTTCTTGCCAATTCTGTCAGGACTCACAAACAGTACCTGATTTTCTTCATGCCTCTGATTTGAGTTCAATATCTGATTTCTCAGTTTCTTTCAACATTTGTGCTACTTCTCGCTCGCAGTTATGCATACATTGCGGGCAACAAATTGATACAGCATCAGGATCTACGTACTCAGAGCCACGCCTAAATGGAGAGATCGTTGTAGTTGGCAAGGTCTTTAACGGGGATAAAGACCGGTGAAACAAAATCGAAAAAAAACAGAAACAAAACAGAGTTAACATATCAGATAAGATTCATTTACCAACTACAATCCCAAGTTTAATCAATTCCATGAAAGAAAATGCTTTATCTCCATTCCATTAAACACGAAACACTAATCTTTATCATTTAATCTGATCTTGCTATGGAATAACCAGGGAAATAAGATTTTGGAGAGAGATCATCGGAGTTGGAGTGGAAATGGAGGTGGGAGCCGGCGGAATCGGAGTGGGAGTGAGAGGCGTGCTTGGAAAGCTGGTGGGTTTTGTGGGAGGAGAGGGAGAGGGGGAGGAAGAAGGAGACGGCGGCACATGACTCTAAGTGTCGTGATGGACAAAGGAGTGGAGGGAAGAAACCCTAAATTCACGGTTGGTGGAGGTGGAAGATGAACCTGATGTGGACTTTAATGAAAATAACAAGTTTAACCCTTATGCAACCAAGTTATAAAACTAAACAGCCACGTTGCACAAATCAATCCACGCTGTCAGCTGGATCGTTAAATATTTAACGCCGTGACCAAAAAGGATTTAATTGGACACTTTTTTCACAACTTGGGACCACATTGAACTTTTTAAAAGAGGTAGGACAAAATTGAACATTTCCCTTATAAAGAGGGACAAAAAGAGGTATTAAGCCTTTCTAATAAAATATATTGTAATATTTATTAAAATACCATATTTTGGAATGAAAACTATTACAGTATATATTCTCTTAAATGAAACTAGTATAGTAAGAAACCGTCCGTATTCATGGTCTCTTTACTTTTACTTTTTATATGGAGATGAAAATATTAATAATATGGTTTAATTAAACCTCGGATCATCCACATATTTTTTGGGAATTCTTGAGTAGGCTTTCGTTTTTTAACATTTGAAAAATTAAGTCAATTAAACTCTGTTCGTTAAATTTTCATAGATAGCGTTAAAATTTATTGACGTGGTGCACACTTAATCTCCTGATGTATACCTCTTATATTACCTGAAATTTGTTATTTAATTTGTTATTAAGTCTTGTATAAGAATTATATGACGTGTTATGTTATATTATTTAATGTTTAAATTAGGGATTTTTTTGGATTAGGATATTTTTAATCAAATAGGGTTAGAGAAAGAGAATTATTGATTTGGTTAGTGTGAGAAGACGAATTGGAATACTAGAGAGCATTCTCTTCATTGGATGACCAGAATGGAAAGCTCAAGTCTAGAAGCTATGGCGCGTCGCGACCGGAAAGGACCCCTCTGCCAACGATGACGGTGATGGTTGTTGACGGTGGTGAGCGACGACGATTGGTTCGTGGATGATGGTCGAAATTTTGCCAACAACTACAGGAAATGTTGCAAGTGGTGCCCTGGTAACTGTGAAAAATAAAACATTAGAGAAATTTGAAAGCTTTGAGAAAAATGAAAAAGGGAAAAATGAATTGAATCGGAAAAATGAAGAATTGAATCGAAAAAATGAAGAAAAAAAAAGAAAGAGATTGATAAGATATGGAAATTAGGAAATGGAAAAGAGGGATTTTGCAATGGAAAAGGGAAAAGATGAATCTAAATTAGGAGACTAACTGCTTCATCCCTTTCAACCATACGGGTTATGTCAAATCAAATAAAGAACTTGTGTCAAACACCAAATGACCCATAATTGATTTTTTTACCTGCTTAGATTGACCATTTCAGCCACTGATACTGGTTATTATCACGTGCTCGGTCTCAGCACCCACACCATCGATGATGTCAGGCTCACTATCCTGCAGAATATAAACCAAGGGCAATTGAAACCTACTGAAATAGAAACAACAAAATGGGTAGGAAAAAAAATTAAAATTTCGGGAGAAGTGTTTTCAAAACTTGTGTTTGTGTCCTAAGCACATTTGATAATGGTTAACGAAGAAGAGAATGGAACAGGAAAAAGATGAATTGTGAGATGATGCTTCTTGAATTAAAAAAAAATGAAAAAATAAAGATGAAAAAGGGTAACAGTGTACAGACCCTGTCTTCATCGTGGTCTCTCAATCTCATCTCGAGCATGTCTCTACCAACCCAATCGATGGAACTGGAAGAACCGCTAAAGGCAACGTTAACGGGCCTGGAACTGCAGGTGTTGGGGGTTGTAGTGTGGAACAGATTGAGGCTGGTTTGATTTTTCTGTTTTGTAGGTTTTTGAGGTGCTACGCGGTGGCTACCAAGGTTTTGATGGTTGGGTCAGGTTCCTGTGTTCGTCTTCTCTCATGTGTTCGTCTACCGTGTTCACTGATCAAATTCCTAATTCCCTTTCTCTAACCCTATTTACTTAAAAAATTTCTAATCATAAGAAATTCCTAACATTACTAATTCAATTTTGTGCCACGTCAAAAACTGTTAATTTAGTTAAGAAATTCCACGTAATATAACAGTTTTCCATTAGCAGATTAAGTGTGCACCATGTCAGCAAATTTTAATGTCGTCTTTGAAAACTTAATGGACATGGCTTAATTGGCTCAATTTTTCAAATATTTGGACCCAATTGAGACAATTTTTTAAATATGTGGACCTAATTGAGATAGTTGCAAATACGAGGACCCACTTGAGATTCTCCAATAAATATAACGACGATCCGAGGGTTTAAACCTAATAATAATGATAAAAGGATTATCTAGTGAATAAATGTATACTTAAATTAGAAGAGGTAATATGATATTAAATATAATTATTTGTAATATATTTATAATATACAATATAATATATGATACAATATAGGTTTAGTGTTTCAGTAGGTCCTTTTTTTTGTCAGAATCTCAAATAGGTTTCCTACTTATTGGTTTTCTCAATTGAGTCCTTATTTTTTAAAAATTGAAACAAATAAAGGTCTCTCGTTAAAATTGACAAATGTAGTTTAAGAGGCCATTATGTGGCAATGCTGACAATAGTATTTAAAATGACGTGACATGGTATGTATGGTAATTAATTTATTATGACGTGTAATTTCTAATTTTTGAATTAAAAAATCAGGGAAACTGATTAATCAACTTCGTCTTCCACCTCGAGAACCCTAATTCCTCTTCTCTTCCTTGTGCTGCCATTGTAACCATAGCCGCTGCCACTGCCTCACCAACCATCCACGCCGCAGCCATCAACCTCTCTTAGGCCACCATGTCGTCATTAGTCACCACCTGCAACCACAACACAACAATGCCACTCGTGAAAAAATCGTCGTCGCGAAACCATATCACCATCACCATCTTCGCCCAACCTTCATCGCGACACACCTCCATCATTCTCACCATCACCGAACCTGCAAACCCAAAGCCAGAAAATAAATAACCAAATCACTTCAACGTGTCACCACCAAACCCTCAGGTTGTCGTCGTCATTAACCCTAATTTGTTCCTTCTTACGGTTCAAATCCAGCAACCTACAACAAAATCGAAATCTCTCAGGTTGCTGCCATCATTAACCATAAACTACCGAATAGTATCCGAAGTTCAACCTTCAATTCATTTTGTGAGGACAAATATTGATCAGGACAAAGGAAAAAGGACTCTTTGAAATCAACGGGGAACAAGACCACAATATGTCTGTACGTCAAAATTAATCATAAAGACATAGAAACAGAGATCACGAAAATCAAGTAGATTCCATGATTGAAAAACAATCC